CCTCCCTCCCTCCCTGCCTGCCTCCGGTTTCGCCTTCCTCCCGGTTGCCGCCCGTCCCGTCCAGGCAGGAGGCTCCCGCTGCCCGTCCCGTCCAGGCAGGAGGCTCCCGCTTCCCGGCGATGCCGCAGCCGCTGCCCCTGGCCGAGCTGCCCGGCTGAGCGGGAGGAGGGCCCCGGGGCGCCGAGCGGGGCCGCAGGTACCATGAGCGGAGGCAGGTTTGATTTCGACGATGGAGGCGCCTACTGCGGCGGGTGGGAGGGCGGCAAGGCCCACGGGCACGGCATCTGCACCGGCCCCAAGGGCCAGGGCGAGTACTCGGGCTCCTGGAACTACGGCTTCGAAGTGGTGGGCATATACACGTGGCCAAGCGGCAACACCTACGAGGGCTACTGGTCGCAGGGCAAGAGGCACGGGCTGGGAATYGAGACCAAAGGACGGTGGGTTTACCGCGGCGAGTGGACCCACGGCTTTAAGGGACGCTACGGCACGAGGCAGAGCATGAGCAGCGGCGCCAAGTACGAGGGCACCTGGAATAACGGCCTGCAGGATGGTTACGGCACCGAGACGTACGCAGACGGAGGTAAGGATGGCTCTGGGGGTGTCCCGAGGGTGACCTGTGAACCGGGACGTGGCCTGCGAGGGCAGGGGCTGCGTTGCCGTCCCCACGGAGGGGACCAGAGCCTGTCCCTGCCGTGAGGTCTGCGCGGGTGCCAGGGCTGCACCTGCTTCCTGGCACAGGGTGCTCCAGTTGGGGGAATAGGGCTGGGACTGTCCTCAGACGGGCTCCCGTGCCCCATTGCAGCGGCCTGGCYGTCCCTGGGGAGCGCTCACGTGCTGTGGCGCGGGCACGAGGTGGCACATCCCCTGGGAGCTGTTTGTCACATCGGGATCGATAGTAAATACCAGGCACCTTCATTATCTGTCGGCCGCGGCTCCGGGTTTTCCGGCGATGGATTACTGCAGGTCACCGCTGAGGCGAAGCAGGAGCTCCTCACCAGCTAGCGGCGGCAGCAGGCCATTCACTTTCCCTTTGGTCTGGGAGCCATGYGCGTTTCCACGTTGGATACGAGCCACCCAGAGCATCGTAGCGCTTTGTGTATTAAACACCGCTCGCGTGTCGCTCAACGGGTGCCTGAACATCTGCTCTGATGAAACGTCCTGCTTGAGTTTATCAAGGCTCTTTAGGACACTTAGCCACGTGTCCTCCCATAAAATAAATCCTTTAGGTTACTGCAAGACTCTCAACCTGCTAGTCCACAGGTGCACTGGGTAGGCAGGCATTTGTTGTACCCTCTGTAAATGCTTGGCCTAATTGTGGTTTTTTGTTTTTTTTTTTGCATTAGTGGCACATTTTGGGTTGGGAACATCACAAGCAGCTCTGTGCTAGTCATTCTGTAGCCCTTCACTACTGTAGTGTTCCAGGATGCCATATTTAGGATAGCTAAATAAAGAGGGTGATTTGAAAGAAATACTCTTCAAAATATGCATCAGAATTGCAACTATATTTATCCAGGACATGCAGTGGGTTCTGTTTATAAGGAAAAGTAACAGTAATGGTACATATCTTAAGAATGAAAAGCATCTGATCTATAGACATTAGCAGAACAGATTAATTTGAGATATTGGCTGTCAGAATTGGGCTTTTATAAATATAGATTTTTCTCAACAAGTTCCCTAGGTCCTTGACTAACTTTAAGCTTGGGAACATAGTCCTCAAGATGACTCTTTTTGTTTGTGCCCTTTGAGGTTGTCAGCGTAGATGCAGACCAGAAGTGAGTCAGCTCTCCAGCTCCTGAAGCTTTAGCTTGTCTGCCATGTGCCCGGGTTTGTTAAACACCCAAATAGTGTTGCAGAGAGATACCAAAAGCTAAGGCTAAAGCATACATGCAGTGCCCCTGGGTGTTGCAAAAGCTTCATGGCTGGGTTTAAGATCTGGAGGTAACATATAAGCCTGTGCCTGACTAATAATGTGCTGTGAATGGTAAGCAACAGTTGCCTGCTGAATATCTTCTATGCAAGTAATTCTAATTCTGAAGGTCTTGGAATATCATATATATTTTCAGAGCTTTTTTCTTTTATTCTTTTTCTTTTTTTCTTTTTTTTTTCTCAGTACTAAAACGCATCTCTTTCTGAGGACACAGTGCAGCAGAATCTCAGGTTAGTGTTGGGCAGGAGAGTCTAAAGAGACAAAACCTGGCAGATATGTTGGAATTTGATTAGATCTTGTACTGAGCACTCAGAGCAGAAGAGGGGGAAACATGAGTCAAGATTTTATCCTATATGGATTTATAAGATAGCATTTCTGCTAGCATGACACTTCCCAGCCCTCCTTGGGTGTTGTCCGATACTCAGGAATGTGCTGTCTACGTGATCCCTGGAGTAGTCCTAAGCTCAGCCCTGACCCATAAAGATGTGACCTGTGGAAGCCTCTGTGGGCAGTGGGGAGGCCCAGCCACCCGGCAGCCCGAGCAGACCCACCTCGTGTGGCCTGAGAAGCTCTCAGCAGAGAGAACTCCAGCTGCCAAGCATCTGCTCATTGCTTTGGGTGGCCAGGTCCCGGCTGGTATGTGGCTGAGCAATTCATTCAGTGTGTGAACGACTGAGGGGAACATAGAAAGCTACGTCTGAAGCCAAGTTTACAAACGTTGGCCAACATCAAGTGGAGAAGAGGTGGAATTACCTTATTAACTTGCAGGACCTGCTCCTGTAAGGCCTTCTCACCTGTGCATAGCAACCAGCTGCAAGATCCAGATGTGACCAGGCTGTTAATAGAATCTGTTACTATTTGAATTGGAGATTGCCAAGCTAAACATCTGGAACCCTTTGGAATCTGTTATCTCTTGAGCAGGGGATGTGATTCACAAGCGCCCTGGAAGCCAGCCCTGCAGAACAAGGTTGCTGGGAAGAAGGGGCTCTTGCCAGTTCCCTAGAAGCTTTAGGTCACTATTGGACCCAAAAGCAGATTTAATGGAGATGCAGCTGATTCTGATGTTTTAAAATACACTTAAATCAGTGTATGAGGCATCTGGCTTGCCTGTGGTTTGTGTCCTGTGGCTGGCTGTGCTGGGTGTCTACATAAAGCCCAAATCTGGAGTGGAGCTTTTCTTGTGAAATCCCATGTAGGTTTTTGGTGTTTCATAAGAAGTGAATCTGTGTCATGGTTTAGCCCAGTGCTAGTTGTATCGCACTATCTTTCTCCTCTACCAAATGCCCATTTTCATGAGCTGGGAGGCTAATTCGGATTCCTTCTGTGAAGATGATTGAAATCAGGGAGGGGTTCAGAGCTCCTTGGGTATGGGCAGGCAGATACAGTAACACTGTGATGCATTTCCTTAGGTATCCAAGCTAAATATATATGTGTCTGCTTCTATTACGGGGAAAGGGCTTGGAGCCCCTTATAGGGGCAGGATATGATAGCTAAAGACAAAGGTGATTTGAGTTTTGAAAGGCTCTACATGAACTCACCACTTTACAACATGAGTTAGAAGTGAACATCTAGTTACTTGACCTCTGAATTTTATCGCTATTGGAAGGTGGACTTCATTTTTGTCTTTTGAGCCTGAGTGTTTGATTCAGTTAAAACTTACTGCAGAAAAAAAAAATCTCTCAATGCCAATTCTTACTGCTAGCGAAGGATTCAGGACCAAACCTATGCTTTGCTATGTGAATAACTGTTTAGATCTACATATACTAGATGTCTATCTAGTGTCCTGCAACCCGGGATGCCTCTATTAGGCTACTCCAGCAATTTTAACCAGGAATTAATGCTGTGTCTTTTCTTTCTCTCCGTTTTTTCCTTCCTCTCTTTCCCAGCAGCAGCCAGCAGGCAATATTAGATATTAGAGCAGTCCTGCCCCCTGACACTGGTGACACTGACACCACCACAAGCGCCAGGCTCGCACTGCTCTGTCTGGCACATGTCTCTGAGCACTGATTTAATGCATCTGGCCTTCCATACTGCCTTCCCCTGATGTGTCTGTCATTGCAGTATCAGGGTGACAGCAGATGATTGCCGGACAGCGATACTATTTGAGTAGTTTGCATTATTTACCCAGTTGTTTGTATTATTTGCATTTATAGCTAAACAAACAAGAGCTCGGAGGTGGCCTGGGAAGGGGCGAGGTGATGCTGCTGTCACAAGCTCTTGCTGCTGGGGCCGGTGCCCACCAAGAGTTGCAGGATTTGTCTTTGGTGCAGCCGGGTACMATCTCACCCTGCCCGGAGCTCCTGCCGGGAGGAGTGACCTGGTGCCAGGGTGGGAGGGAGGTGGCACCACCCAGCTGCATGAATCCTGAACCCCGTGTTTGCAGGGAAGTCGGCAGGGGCCATGTTTGAGTCACTGCTGCTCCTCAGTCCTTCCCATCCTGTGAATATGCATGGAAAGGGATTGTTAGGGGCAGACAGGGAAGATAGACCTCACCTGACAGTGGCTCGAACCAGTCTGTATGAGCCTGGGCTGCCRTGAGGAGAGATGGGGCAAACGGAGAGTAACGATGGGCTGGAGGGACACCTTTCCATGATGGAACATCTCTCCCAGACAGGGAGGGAAATGGGTTGCTGATCTGGGTGGAAAAAATCTGCGACAGCCCCCAGCACCCCCACCCTGAGGCTTTGTTCCTTTGCCTTCGGCCTCCTGTCCTGAACAAGACTGATAATCTGGGCACATACAGTTTTCATGCAAAGGAGATGATCTCATTATGCAACTCTAATTCAGCATCTTCTTTTCTGAGCCATTTGCAGCTCTGGAGCCACTTGGCCTGCATTGGCCTTCAGCCCGATGTGTGAGGCTGAGCCCTGTTACTGCTGTCCTCGTGGCCCAGTCCTCTGCTGCCTTTCTCTGCTGTCCCTGCAGGCATAAAGCAAAAAGCAGACACAGGGAGGTGTATTCTTGCCATGAAAATGCACGTTGTAATGCTCTGTTTTTAAAGAAAAATGGAAAGAGGGCAAAACTCCATGGGAGAATTTCTAAGCCAAAATTTCTAAGCCAAAATTTCTGGGCTGTGCTGCCGGGCTGGGGGAAGGGAGAGCAGACTGGCTGCCACCCCGGCTAGCTGGGCTCAGGCAAACCCAAACCCTGACGGAGCTGCTCATCCCCAAGGTATTCAGTTAGTCAGAGCAACTCTGGATAAGGAGGAAAACTGAAAAAAAAAAGTCCTGCACAGTGCTAGCTCCTGCATGCATGTGTTGATATCATAAGCTTTGCTATGTGTATAGATATTTTTAATTGCAGAGTGCTTTGGTGCTCACAAGGTATTTAAGGGTCAGGTGCATGTGGGTATGTTGAGCATGTCCGTGATGCCAAGTGTTTGGTGCAGCCCTGTTGAACTCGGTTCATAGGCACCTAGGGGCCTCTCTCTACTCAGAGCTGTGGTGCTCATGTAGCAACGGACACATGTGGCCGTGRGAAAAGCTCTCTGGCTGCAGAGCAAAGGTGGAGCTCACCCAGCAGCAGTTTGCTCTGCCCCGCGTTTTCTTTGCGTTTCTGGGTGGCTGMAGGGTTTTGAAGCCCTCCATTAAGGCAGCTGTGGTTGGCAGCTGTGGTTGTACCACACACTGGAGAGGAAATATGCACTTCAATCAGGCAGCCTAAACCAAGCTGAAGGGTGGATCTGCCCAACGTGTTGTGGAGACATGTGGCCGGAGTCTATCCATGTGCCAAGGAGGCCGGATCTCTGCTGCTCCAAAGCCCGCTCTGCCCTGTGGCTTTGCCCTTCCCTGGCACCTTTGGGAAGAAGGGAAGGTTTGGAGCTTGCTGAAGGGCCTACCTACCCCACAGGATGCTCCAAAACCCCTCTCCCGGGCGGTTAGCTTGCAGCAGGAGCAGGCGGAGCCGTTCGAACGCAGGAGATGGCGCACGGCCTCGAATGTCACCCCTATCGCGTGTCACCCTGCCCGCCGGTCACAGCCATGGCACAAGAGGGGTGAAGCGCTGAATTCCCTGGGTCAGTGTGGGGACAGAAATGGGGACAGGATGTGTGTTTTTGGTAACTCTTTAATAATAGTGTATGACAATGAGGTGTCACCTTTTCACAGASGGACTTGGGAGCGCAGGAGGGTGAGGAGCTTGCCCAAATGCCTGCGCTGGAGGTGCACAGCAGGCCTTGGATCACAGTCCTGGGCTTCCAGCTCCTGCCCACACTCCCAACCCGAGCTGTCCTCTCCCAGCCCCTTATCTTTCCCTCAAAGAAATGCTTAAAACTAYGCCAGGAGCCCGGGCGCTGTGGGTGCGGGCGCCTCTTGCCTTTCGCGGGCGCTGTAAGGCAACACCCGTGTGCGGGGCCAAGGCGGCTCGCCGCGAAACCCGAGGCCTGGGCGCCCATGGCGCAGCAGCAGCCTGGGGGACCGTTAAAACTTCCACTCCCACCACCGCCAAAGAAGGAGCGGGATTTGATCCCCTGGGAGCGGGGCCATTCTTGGTCTCCGTAATGGCGTCTGTGTGTGGAAACGAAGGCCCTGGGACCAGGCTGCCCCCATGTTCTTGACGCTGCTCCCTGCTGGCGCGGATCTCCTCRAGTTCCTTGGAGCTGCTTGTGTTTGGGGCGGTTTGGCGGTTACTGAGGCGACTGTAGCTAGGGATCGTGAAACTCCGGCCGTGGGGCTGGCGGACATCGGGTCCCCAGGGCTGGGAATGTCCTGGGCCCCAGGGCTGGCCCTCGGGAAGCCTGTCCGGCCAGSCTCGGCGTCCACCTCTCGGCTGTGGGTAACTGCTCCCCCCGGGCACCCTGCTCCTCTTAGGAGTGCTTCTTGGGAAGGGCTCGTTAGCTTAAGTCCCGTGACATCCTGTTGAGAAAGGTCAGAGCTGTCGTCTTCGACTTGCCCTTCTGGGAGCTGCGTCTTGCACTCACAAAACGGCGCGGATCGGGAGAGAGTCCAGCTGGCAGAGGAGCAACCTCCCCTTGCTTGCCCTGCGACCTGTCCTGGGGGCTCTTGGTGGGGTCCCGTGTCCCTGGGTGCCGATAGACCCTAGCAGCACGTTGCTCTATGCGGCTGGGACTGTGGCAAAGTGCGCATCAGGGACCAGGCGTTGCTGCTGCAGGTGCCCTGGGAAACCTGGGCGATGGCCACGTGCCCATCTCTCATCTGTGGGGTTGAGAGGCTGTCCTGGCAGGCCTGCGAGTGACAAACTGCAGAAGGGGTTGGAAGGGACTGTCACGGAGCCAAGGGGAGCTGTGCCGTGCTGCTCATGCCTACGCATGGGGCTGCTACCGCCCGCTCGGCCCCGCCACGGCTGCCTCCTCCTTCCAGGAGCCCTGCAGCAGATCTGGACCACATCCATCAAGGTGGCTGTGGGGCGGCATACCTGCAGCCTGGTGCTCTGACCCCTTTCTGGCGAGCTAAAGGAGACCTGTCACCTACGCTGGCTTGTATCCTCTGTCCTCATCCTGCCATGGGGCTTTTGGCTGTGGCTTTTGGAGCTTCTCTATTCTAGGGCAGGCCAAGGTGGCCGGTGTCATCTAAAGCTGTCACAGCAATGTAGCACATGGTTGTGTGCTGGCCTTGTGCACGCGGGGACAGAAAAGATGTCCTCTAAGCGGGTCTCTCCTCTTTCCCGCAGGAACGTACCAGGGCCAGTTCACCAACGGCATGCGGCACGGCTACGGTGTGCGGCAGAGCGTGCCCTATGGCATGGCCTCCGTGGTGCGCTCACCGCTGCGCACGTCGCTCTCGTCCCTGCGCAGCGAGCACAGCAACGGGACACTGCCCCAGCAGGACTCGCCGGCCGCCAACCCCGAGAGCCTGCCCATGTCGCCCACCATCACGCGCGGCGGCTTCGCCCTCAGCCTCTACGCGGACGCTGAGGCCGCCAAGGCCAAGAAGGGCGGCCTCTTCCGCCGCGGCTCCTTGCTGGGCAAGCTGAAGAAATCCGAGTCCAAGTCGTCCCTGGCCAGCCAGAAGAGCCGCGTGAGCTTCCTCAAGAGCGAGAGCGGCATCAGCTCGGCCGCCAGCGACGCCACCTCCACCGTGAGCCTGGGCGAGGGCGCCGAGGGAGAGGAGTTCCCCCCCTTCGAGTCCGACATTGACGCCACCACCACGGAGACCTACATGGGCGAGTGGAAGAACGACAAGCGCTCGGGTTTCGGCGTCAGCGAGCGCTCCAGCGGCCTCAAGTACGAGGGCGAGTGGCTGGACAACCTGCGGCACGGCTACGGCTGCACCACGCTGCCCGACGGCAAGAAGGAGGAGGGCAAGTACCGCCACAACGTGCTCGTCAAGGGCATGAAGAAGCGCGTCATCCCGCTCAAGAGCGCCAAGATCCGGCAGAAGGTGGACCGCAGYGTGGAGGGTGCCCAGAGGGCCGCCGCCATCGCCCGGCAGAAGTCAGAGATCGCGGCCTCCAGGTCGGTACCGGCACTGGGGGCTAAGGGGGCTGCTAGGGGCAGCGTTCCCCATTTCCATCTCCTTCCCTAGATGGATTTGGGGTTTTGGCTGCTTTGGCATTGTGTGGCAGTGGCATCTACAGTTTAACCGAGCTGCTGATTTGCTTGTTAAGGTGAGGATGAGGTGATATCGCTTAACCGAGCACCAAATACCTGCCTGGGTGGGGATTTATTAGCAGGGTGGATGGACAAGTGGTTGCTTTTGCCTACAGCCCATCAAACAGGCTGCTGAACAGTGACATAAAAAGCAGCACTGCACAGCGCTCCGCTGCAGCACCCACTGCGGCTCRGAGGGGTTTTATGGCCTGTAATTTGAATCCCCATTTAATTGTAGCTGCACTGGGCACCCTGGGGCTGCCTGTGCTGTGGTCAGATGTTGGGAGATGCTGGGACTCAGCGCCCAAAGTGGTTGATGGTGGATGGAAATGTCAGTGATGGGGGGTGCTGGTGAGTGGGAGTGCAGAGCCTTCGCACTCCTCCTCTGCCTCAGGAGCTGTGCTTGGGAAAGCTCTTTCTGCCTGCTCCAGCCGTTTCCCTGCCTGGTTTACTCAGCAGCGCTGGCAAATTTTCGTCATCTGGAGCAGGGTGCCAATGTCCAAACCCAGTTGGGGAGGCCGGGACACTGTGCACTCGCYCACTGGATCCCATGTGGGGCTGCCCGCTGGGCTGCACGGAGCAATCCCACAGCTCCATCCCCATGGTACAACCCTGATTTGGGGGCTGCAGGGGTGTTTTTGCCCTTGCAGACTGATGCATCAGGAGGTGGTGTGAGCTGGGCCGCCTAACTGCAAGCCCAGGGTGCTCTCTATGGTGGGACAACTCTGATAAAACCCAYGTCGGGTCGTGGCAGGAGCGGGCAGCAGGGCAGGCTCAGCCCGACAAAGGCTCTGGCGGCGCCCGCCCCGCTCCCCGGCCATAAATAACGGGGTTAGGGCCGCACAAGCGGCCTGACAGCTCGCTCGGTTTACATAAGCCTCCTTTTATTATGCACTATTTACACGTTGGATCGGACGCGGTTGTGCAGTGTTTTCCATCAGGGGCTGGAATGCGCCCGTTGCCCTCACGGGGGACGGCAGCCTGCACGAGCGTGGCTTGGGAATGATTGCCTATTAAGGAAACCTTGGAGCTGGAGGAAATAAGACAGGACAGTGTTTTCCTCAAGGGAGTCCTCCCCTTGCAAACCTCGTATTGCAACCGCTGAGGCGGGTGAAGAGGATAYGGCCGTCCCCAGTGATAAATCACCCTTGTCCTTTGCGTGGGGTTTTGCGTGCAGCCAAGGATGGTGATTGCTGAGGCTCCTCGAGGCTGGCCAAGGCCTGAGGCAGTATCTGTTTTTCCCCCTTGGGCCATCCCTAAAAACGTTTTTGCAGGACAAAGTTGGTGGTGCTCTGATATGCAGCGCCTTGGCACCCACAGCTCTGAATGCGCCCGGGACCGAACCTGCTGCAATTGAGGGCTGGCCTGGCTTTCTTTAAGCTTTAATTCTGTTGGAGGTGGCATTTCCTCCCGGGTAGGCTGCACTGTGCCGAGCTGCCGCCTCCTCCTGCTGCTTTGTAAAACTCTGACCCACGTGTTGCTTCCTTCTGCTTTTAGCTCAGCTTTGTAGTCAAGAGTACATGCATTAAATATCACTTGTCCCTGTCGCCTTAGATATAATCCCAGCTCCATCACCAGCTTTCCCTTTGGTCTTGGCCCCTGTCTTAGTTTCCACACCCTTGACAGTAACTAGTGCACAGACTTGGAAGCCCATAGAGGGGCTGCAGTGCCCTTGGTGCCTCCTTGGCTCATCTCACGGAGGGAGCTTTGCTGACTTGGGTGCTTGTGTCACTCCAGTGACCGCAGCATCCGTCAGCAGGTACCAACGGAATCCGTGTGTCCCAAAGGTGTCCCCATGCACCCCTTCTTACTCACAACCCCAGGAGCTCTGCTCTTCCCTTCCTCTTCCTTTAGGGGCTGCCCTGATGCCTGTGTGTCCCTGGTGGGTCTCATCCCCCTCCTGACACAAGTCCCCTTGAGCCCTGGGCTTGGCTTTGCTAACGGTGCCTAACTGCAACACCCGYTGTCCAAGTCACCCAAGAAATGTCTTTGAGGCCACACGAGTCCTTCCTGCAGGGAAGAGGTGACATCTGYCTGGGAGGGACCATCACTAGAGCACCCAGCACCTGGGCTGTGCAGAAGCTCGACTACAGCCATGCACCTTGGCTGCTGTGTAGGAAAGACTGATTTTCATGGCACCTGGAGGAGCCCCATGCAGAGCTAAACTGCTGTGACATCCAGTCTTTCACTGTATGGGAATGCAACATCCAGAGGAGACAAGAATTTGCTCTTTTTGCACCATAAAAGGATGTTTAAGGCATAGAAACCTAGTGAAAAACAAGCCCTCGTGCTGGCAGCTGTGCAAGCCCCTGCCGGCTGCACCTTAGGAATCCCAGGCATGTACCGGAATACGAAGCTGCGCTCGGCAGCGCGCCGTGCCGCTGGGCTTCCCGAGCCTCACACGGATCTGCCGTGTGGCAGCGGATGTGACAGCCATGGCAGGCAGGGACGCGTGCCCAGGGCCACCAGCAAACTGGCCCGGTGGGTGTCTGCAGTGCAGGGGTGCCCACGAGGCAGGGTTTGCTTTGCAGGTCCCCGCTCYGCGGGCTCGCTTTGGCCTTTCTGGCTGTAGTTCCGGGCTCATTGATGGCCTCTTTGCCCAGGGATGCAGCTCTGGCCTCGTCGGCTCCCTCCCAGATTCCCCCAAGATGGAAATCCAGCTGCTTCCCACATTGCGCAACAGGCGGTGGGCAGAGCTGGCATTGTCGTGCTGCAGCCAAAGGGAATTGTGTTTTTTTGCTGCTTTTCCATGACTTCAGTGAAAACTGTTGGTCATGTCATGGCTTAGGGCTGTCGCAGCCACAATGTCCTGCACCAGGTAGTGCTGCCCTGTGCTGGTCACGGGCTCTGCCCTGTGGCTCCCCGGCCAGGATGAGCCCTGGCATCCCGGTGATCCTGCCGGAGTAGGAATGAAGCTGACCCAGCTGGCGCTAAACAGCCGAGGTGCCCTCCTACCTCCATCCTCCCTGTGCTTGTCCTCTCCCCGCATCCAGGGCTCCTTCCAAAACCTGCTGGAGTTGCTGGGAAAACTGGTGGGGTCGTGGGAGCCCAGCTGGGAAGTCATTTCCCAGTCACTGGAGCAGGAAAGTTGGCCGGAGGACAGAGAGCTCATCCGTTCCCTGATGGCCACCGGGAGGAAAGGAAGCGGCCGCCGGGGAGCGGGACGTGGGCTGCGGTGCCGAGGGAGGCGCCGGGAGCTTTGTGAGGACCCCCGTGGGGCTCCAAGAGCASCTTTGGGGGGTCCCAGCAGCTTCTGCACCCCAGCCCCACGCTGTCTGTAAAATTTCTAAGCTGAATTTTGAAATGTTTGGCATTAATATCCCTAATATGGAGCTTTATCTGTCCGAGGGTATCTACGCAATGGCTCAGATGAGCCCGGGGGAGCGCTAGGATGTCCTAGAACTGCTGCCAGGGTTTGGCACCAGGAGAAGCCTTTGCTGTGGCTTCACGTAGACCTCACTCATTGCATGATTTGTTGCCTGGTTTTGAAGCTGAAGGGCGTCCTGTGCCTGGGGGCTCCGCTTGTCCTGRCTCCTCCGTGGAGGTGACTCCAACAGGGTCTCCGTCCTGGGCTTCCCAGGGCTCTGTGACCCTGCAGGGCAGGCGGGCAGTTCCAGTGATGTCCCCTGGCCTCAGGGAGGCACCGCTCAGGTCATGTGTGCCCCGTCTGGCATGAGAGCCTGTAGCACCTGTGCAGGGGTGGCTGTGCTGGGATGCCATCCGCGGATGCCATCCGCACCTGGGTTTTTCCAGGTGGAAATCCAGAAATCTGGCAATGACGGTATCCCAGGATTTTTTCAGTGTTCTTTTGCAACTTGGTTTCCTCAATCTTTGCCAAAGAGAGGACTGGATGTGGCAGAAGCCTGGTTTGCTTGTGATATGGGATGGGAGAGCAGGGTGCCCAGCTGCACTGCAGCAGAGCCTCAGGGTGTTCCCAGCCGGGCCAGCTCCCTGGGGCGCCTGATCCTTCCCTGCGATCCCGATTTCATGATGCCTTTGCACCAGGATTGGGTAGCACATGATGGATGGGTGTGCGGCGAGGAGAAACCTATCCGTGCAGCAGGCGGGGGATAAAGTGACCGTGTTTACTAGGGCACAACCGTGTCCTTGCCCCGTGCGGGATGTTGGCTGCGATTYCCCTTCCAGCGAGGGCGCCAGGCTTGGGGGGCAGCCTCTCCACAGGTGATCAGTCACCAGAGACACACTCAGGTGTCCCCTGSCTGCAGCCGTGGCCACTTGTGATGCCAGTGACATGTCAGAGGGCAGGAAGGGACAACCCAGCTTTGCAAAAATGGCCCCTGCGTCTGTGCAGAGCGACAGGACGAGGAATTCACTTGCTGGCTTTTATTTTCGTGCTCAGGGAGGCTGGGGCTGTGCTGGGAAGCACGGTGCTCCCCTGCTCTCTCCCCCATGCTAGTGCCAGAAATGCCCGTTCCTCTCCCGTGCAACAAAATGAATGAGGAGCTTTTCCTGTTCACAAAAGCGAAGCACAAAGGACCCGCTCTGCCCGCCTTGCCGTGATGGATGGAGCCCAGGAGGAATGCCAGGAGGCCGTCCTCGCTCCTGCCTTGCCGCGGCCACCGCGATGGCTGCGGGAGCTGCCGCCGGATTCCCAGCATCTATCTCCATGTGGATGCAGCTGCCTCCTCTGCGCCGTGCGTCGTGGCTCGCCCTGGTCACCGCGTGTTCTCATTAGGGGTGTTGCGACAGCCGCCTCCCTGACACCCTGCGCGGTGGCTTCAGCGCAGCAGGTTTGTGGCACCCGTACGTGGGGATGGGGGCACCCAGTTCCTGGGACAAGCCTAGGGCCTGGTCACTGCAGCTTTGTTATCCTGGTTAGTGGGGCCGTTTGGGGCTATTTTTTT